TCTCACTAACAATTTTCCCTTACACCTAATTTACAATAAATGTAATTAAAACATCCCATAGAAGTAGTGTCGTGTATATATACAAAAGGTAAAAAAATATGTCTTTAAGGAGTTACTCGGGCAGAATGTGTTCGTTTCGTATAGCAAATTGTAATAAACATAATAATAAATAGAATAATGTCTTAAATTAAAAAAACGAAGGAATTTTGAAGGTACAAATAAAACTCTCGTATTGTTGTTTACTCTTAAAATTTTAGTTAAAAATGCGACAATTGTGCAATTTTGATGGAATATTCATTGAGACTTTACATGTTAATGATGATCTGTACTTGTTCTGCTCATTCAGGTCGCTGCAAGATAATCTAATTTTGTTGATGAAATCGTATGTGAAGCCTTCGGGTTCTTTTTCGTTAAAATGAGTATTACATTTTTCTACATTTTGCATGGAAAAAGTATAAAACAAAATTACAAAGAAAGTATTAATTACTATTGAATTCACTCTGTTTTGTTTAAATGATGATCTTTTGTTTTCGACTGAGTTCGTGTGCTATTTGTGATTTAGCTAGAAGAATGGTCTGCGGTGACTTTTGTTGTCATGGTAGCAATGAGGTGGTTGATAGCGTTGATTGACTATTAAAACTATTATTGCTTAGAGTAGCGGTAGAAATTGTATTTGTGGTCGGTTGCAAAACAACCGTATTTGTAGTGCCATCTGCAGCACTTGTTGTCATCATTGGCGGTAGTTTGATTTGGACAGGCACTGTTGTATTATCGCTCGTTGGAACCTAATTTAAAACAAAAAATGGTTAAATTTCATGGGCAGCCGAACGTAAAGTTTCTTTTTATTTGACTTACATGAAGGCAAATTGTTTGACAGTCGCCTTGCAATTGAAGCACCTGTTGCTGCTGCTGTTGAATCTGTTGCAGTATGTCATCGGTCGAACAATTTGTAGTTGTTAGTTCGGTCTTTATTGCGTTTGTGTCGATTGAATTTGATGCTATTGTTGCCATTGAAATCGATGTTATGTTCACTGGCATCATATTGGCAGTTGTAACATTCGTTAGTTTATTTGCGTTGGCGGTTCCATTTGCATGACTTGCAGCTGCTTTTTGTGCCTGGGCCTGTGCATTCATCTCCTCTTTCAGTCGCTTCGTTATATGTGACTATGCGGGCAGGAAGAGAAACGAAATTAGCTTAAAACTGAAGAATCAATATTCAAAAAAGGAATTTGGTGGTCGCTTACTTTAGTATGCTTACGAAGGTGATCTTTTCTATAGAAACCCTTTCCACATTCACCGCAGATCTGAATAAAACAAAATCAATGAAATTAATGTTTATCTTTCTGTGAGCCATAGCGGAAATATATTGGCACAAACCTCCGTTTTATCGCCACTATGAATGACAAAATGCAGATTCAGGTGCTCTTTTCGCTTGAAACCCTTTTTACACACGCTACAAATATGCGGACGTTCCGGACTGTGCCCCAATTTATGACGCTCCAAATGTTCTTTTCGTTTCAAACCAGCTCCACAAATATCGCAAATGTATCTGCGTTCTGTAATAAAATCAAAATGAAATGTGTTACCGCCGATCCAGTATCAATATCAATAAAATAATAAATTTTGCAAATACATACCAATTTTATGCACAGTTAAATGCTGTTCGAGATCAGTTTTTTCAGCGTATGCCATTTGACATTCAGGGCAACAGAAAAGAATGGTTCCATCGAGTGCTGTTGCTATATGCACTTGACCTGGCTTCGGTGGTTTTGGCTTCGGTGGCTTCTTCTTGTACTTTCGCTTCTTTTTCACCTTACCATTGGCATCCACTTCAATCTTTGTTTCGATTGGCTCCGCTATCATTGATTCCGTTTGTTGTGATTGCAAATCGTTCGATTGTAAATGTTGTGGCTGAGTTTGGATTTGTGTTAATACTTGATGCGTTTGCTCTTGAATTGATTCGATTAATTTTTGTTTATTGTTTTCAATTTCGCCCAATCCCGGATCTTGTTTTATAACAATGCCGTCCGTTGTTATTGTATCACTTCGTTTAACATGCATATTATCTGTGTCGAACTTTAAGTATGGTTGCAAATTAATTGAGATTCCTTGACGAGCGATGAAATCATTGATGTCATTACTTTGCTGTGTTGTGATCGTATTTTGTCCCCAAAATGGCTCTTGCTTTATGGTTATCGGATTTAATGCACTAAAATTTAAAAACAAAATAAAAATATTAATAAGTTGTTCTAACATAATCACAGAGAGAGAGATAGAGAAAGGTAATGCTCTACTTGTACCCAAAATGAGCTGTGACTTTCCTACTTATTTGGTTGAAATAGAGATAAACCTTATTCTTTGTGTACAAACAAAAAAAATAATCGACAACTCACGGATTTTCGTTTTCATCTTTAACGGAATTGTTCATGTTGCCATCAGTTGTCATATGAATGTTTGTTCCATCCGTTGTTTGTTGCATTTGTGGTTGGGCTTGAGCGAATAACTGTAAGTCTTGCGGTTGAATAGCTGCTAATACTGTAACACCTTCGGGTAAACCATGATTTGGGAGCATTTCACTTTCGGGTGGCATCGATACGGTGAGCACCGTCTGTTGTGGAAATCCCTGAATCGGCAACGACATGGGTATGTTTTGATATTTTGGTGCTTGGTGAATTTGATTCGGATTCAACACTTGAATTTGAACTGTTTGCTGGGCATCGCCGGGTTTTTCGCCAGGCATCGTGATTGGCAATATAAACGTCTGCGCATGTGATATATTCGTTGGCGCATTTTGTTGAATTTGTGTTGGAAAATTAGCGGTGGTTCCATCAACCGAACGCAGAAATTGTACATTTCCATCGGTGCCCGAAACCAAACTCACAACCTGTCCATTCGATGCAGTCAGATTTTGTGCGAATTTCGCTGTTGTAAATTGATGCAGCGATGAATTGGCTGGCAATCCGGCAAACTGCGTTGTGAACGGTGAAAAGTTCATTTTTTGAAACTAAATAAAAGAAATTGTGATAAAAAGAAATGTTAATTTTTAATATCATGTCAAAAAAGTCAAAATTCGACCGAAGTGTGATTCAATATGAAGCTGTTTTTTCAAAATGTGTCATACGATTGTGTATAACTATTCTAACTTACGTCGATTATGTTGTCATTATCGTCCATTTTTCTGGGGGTTTTTTGTTTACGCACGAGATTAGGCCAACAGTATTAAGTGCGTAAATGGCAATTCATGTAATTTCCAAATTAATCACTGTTGGAAACAGAGTGTGATTTATTATACTTCATAAAACAATTTTAATAAGACGAACTCAATTCAAATATATTTATCGTTTGCCATGAATCATGACAATTAAATGTGCCGTAAATCAACACTTTAGGAATTTGCAATATGCACGGATAAGATGAAATCTCACATCTTACTCTCCTCTATAGGAATTTCCATAAGTTAGAGCAGGACATGAGATGAGTTTTTCTCTCTCACCATTTCATATTTCGAATCAACGCACATACGATATGTGTTTGATTTAATGAGTATCGAAGATGCGATGATTTCGAACATTTATACTTTTTTACGAAAGTCAGTTATTATCAGAGACTGTTGAGCTCCTCCTCAGTGAGGCGTAAAGTATTAAAAGTTTAAAAAAAGTTATTGAAATTGATAATATTATGATTTTAGATATTTTTAATATTTGGCTCTTCACTCTACTCTTCAGAGCGCTCCTCTTTACATATGTTGCTCTGAGAAACAGTCTCTTGATTCAGTATTTTGCTTTACACTTCTTTTCAAATTATTTTTTTGCGAATTCATTTTTTCGACATGTTGATACTCTGACACATTTATTTGTCTATTATGATTCAGGTCAACCTATTCTTTTTTGTATTCTATTGAGTGCAAGTTCAAAAAAAGAGAAAATGTTTGAGCCGAAAACCAGTTGAACTGAAATTATTTTGATCCAATAGTCACTCTTTCACCAAAACACACATACATATGTTCACACAACCGAACGCTTCATTGGACAAATTGGCTGCGGAGTGCATAAAATAAAAGCAATATGTTTATTAACAACAAACGATAATTCAAAATAGAAAAAAAGGGTCTGAGATGAGCGTATGGCACAATGCTTAATCTAACTGCTAGCTGACTAATACGAAACGGTTTCGTCTCATTCGCAATAGCATATGTATTGCTGTACGCCATACACTTCGTTTCGTCGTTCATCAAAATTGGTTCGGCTACGTATTTCATAATATAATTCTACCGAACCGCTAATATATATGCAACTGTTATTTGTTTGCGTCTCGTTAAATCGTTTTATGTTGTCACGCATTGAATGCTCGAGAATGCGATTCGTTCGGCGCACTCACAGTATGAATGAAATAACTATCCAAGTGAAACAATACACAAACACACAACGCTCAAATGCAAAATTGAAAGATCACATTGAACATATTGGGAATTTACCCGCAACACCAATAAATGAAAACCCAAGGAGAATATCATCGTGTATTTGTTTCGATGCGTTTCAGAAATAATCGCGGAAATGATTGAAACAATAGAAAAGTGAAAAGGAAACATGGAAGAGAAAATAAACAAAATCAACTGACGAATGTTGGGTTCATTGCTTCATACGGTGGGAGTCTAACGTTTTCTCCTTAGTACATAATTCAAATGGAAATTAATTTCAACGAAAATAGTTGTGTATAGTGTTCGACAATGTTAAATTGATGTGCACACGTTACGCTTAAAAAGTGTGTGTATGCATTTTTGTCTTGTCATTTACTGTGTGATGTGATAGACCACAAGAAACAAGATCACTATAACTGAACGGCAGAAAAATGTGTTCGATTTTTGTGTTGTTGTTGTTTTTGGTTTCAATTTACATTCCCAGCGAATTGCGGTCGTAATTTCAATCCATTCAGTAGTTGAAAATGTATTATGCAATTGCGTCACGAAATCTTGCTACTTCTTTTTCTTCTTTTTTCACTTCAACTGTATTCAAAATTTGCAATTAAAATGTACGATTACGATGGTAAATAACAAAATTCCCATATAGAATATGAATTGAAACTCTTTTCTGTTGGTGTCGTGCTGTTCGCTGCCGATGGACCGAGGCTGAATTTTGAAGCAAAGCGCAGAGTATACACACTGTCAGCATTTAGCTGCAGCAAAGAGAAAGTAGTCACACGGCTTTCTTATAAGTCAAAATTCCAGATCATTTAATTCAACTTTCTAAGATCGAACCGTGTGGCAGCAGTGTAGGAACGGAGTACATACACGAAAATGAATGTGAGATCTCTTGTTGAAATTCACGTTGAAAATGATGACGGCAACAACAATGTCGATCATTCCAAACGAAGCAATCTCTTCCATGAAAATCGAAAGCACAAGCTTTCAGCGTACCAATTAATAACCACTGTAAAGGTCAATTCTTATGACTTTTATCGCTTTCAAAAGTCGAAGTGAAAAAGTGCATTGAAATTATAAAATTTACAGGAAATTTCCGACTTTTCAACTATTCACTAATAATGTAAACGCTGAATAATTTCATGCAATAAAAATATGAATAAAAAAGAAATAGCATTTTTTTTATTGATATTATATAAAAAAAATAATGAAACGAAATACACGAGCAACAAGAAGTGAAACGCGTTTTCATGCAAACAGTACACACCGATACATACACACAGCATAACCTTAGCTATACAATCGTTCGTTTGTATAAGACACTTTAATGGATATTGTTTTTGCTCTCTTCTCTCTTTGAACATTTCATAAAATAGAAAGTGATCTTAATCTGATCATTTGCTAGCTATTTTTATCTGCTTCAATAAATGAACAGGTAAATGTTTAAATCTTTGACTTTGAATGGGTATTATTTTGAATTTATTTGTCCCAAATTCGGTTCATTTATTCCGAACGATATTTTGAAAAGATATTTTTTTTTTCTATGAAAAAAATCGAATTCTTCTTTTTACAAAGTCACCTCCAAACAATCTATTTTTGTAATTGGCAATATTTTTTTCGTTTATTTTAATTCATCGATTGATGAATTATTTGCATTGATTTAAGTGGCATCAATTCAGTTCCGTTTGTAGCAAAAGTGAAAGTACGTTAACGATTGTTTCTTTTTCTCAAGGATTACTTTCAATTTAATTCAAAACTATGTATATTCACTTCAATTTTTTCATCTTTTTTCATAAATACCACTAGACAATTGCGTATGGAAAAATCCATTGAAGGTGTAAATTGAAATTTGGTTAAACGCAGAGATCATCGTTCGTTAATTTAAAGCCGTACAATTATTGAACTCTGTTTTACACGTTTGAATTAGCAAACTGTTAAGTGTACACACACGCGAGAAAAAAAAATTCATTCGACCCGCAATTGCACCCACTCAATCAACCATCGATCAAAACTCAATTCCAAGCAAAAGTACGGAAAAAAGTTTTCCCAATCGTAGGGTTTGTTTTCATTTTTTTTTATTGCTTCTGTCTCTTCTCTTTTTGGTGAAAACGGCAAAAATCACACACCAAACCAATCCTACCTCCAGTCTGTGGTGGAACAATATATAAACTGATCGTGCCATATTACACAAATTTTATTCACTCTTCGGCCAACAAATTGAGCGCACATAACAACAACAACAGCAGCAGCAATAGCATTAACAGTACCACTGTATAACTCGATACAACACACATACACCGAACTGTGCTGAATTTCATGGATTTATACAAGAGAAACGAGAGTACGTTTGCACAAGTATGAGTACTCACTTTGATGGTATACTTAGCGTGTTTTTCTTCTTCTTCTCTTCGTCGTCGTTTTGTTGCTGTCGAAATACAGCTAACGATCGATGTGGGAAAATACAGAGAGTTGTTTCTTGGATCATTACGACACCAGTTAACATTTCTGAAGCAATGCGCAGTTATCTTGGTGTTTGTGTGTTCGTTTCATTGGTACGTGTTAGACTCATTAACGATCGCCACCGAAGAAACAAACGAACCATAGAAAGAAAAAAAAACATCTTAAGACACAAGCACAACCATAAACACCAACACATTTACATGACCGTAATAGTGCTAACAACGAATCAGAAATCAAAACGAATCATAAACATTCGAATAATTTCATCAAAGACAAGTTTAAAGCAGCGGTTTCTTTAGTTTTACCAAATATGATCGATTTCGTTTTCTTCTGAATATTTCTCTAAATTATTTGCTAATGAACATACAGAGAGAGAGAGAGAATATGTGCTATTCGCAATGCATTTAAGGTAAACGAATATTTATAATGTTATTGTTTTGTGTGGCTGCACCGTTTGATTTATAATAAATAAGTGCGCATTGTTTTGGATTTAATTTACTGTTTTTCCTCTCGGCGAGCTCATATCCAATTCATATACGTTGATCGTTTGCTACGCAAGTGTATAAGACAGCCGCAATAATGAAAACGGTTCGCAAAGTGAATTACGATGAAGAAAGAATTCGGATAAGAACGACAACGACGACGACGAATACCACGGCAACGGTGAAGAGAGACCGATGTCAGAAGCACTTGTAACAATGCGATTTCTTTTATTCATGATCGACTCTGGGCTATTGTGAGAAATAGAGTGGTAATGGCAAATCGTGCGAAATGAATAAAATAAAAAAACTAACAAAACCCATACATAAGATAGAATCGTATGAACTCGAAAAGTATGTTACGGGCCGTATTTTTCTTTTTCTCGATTGCCCAATTTAGTGTTCATGATTCATGGCTTATGTACCGTTGGATTGTTGTTTGTTACTCGTTTACTATATGAAACGGTTGAATTGGCATATAGATCCGCATACACATCATAAAACTGATTCAATAAGAAAATAACACTAACTACAATGTAGCAAGAATGCTTAATATTCTTCTGGTTGCATTGTATTCAATATTTTATTGGTCCGAATGAGTATCACGATGCCGAAATACCAAAAAAACCGAAACTTTTTGCGACACACATCCGAATATACTTGATTTCGAACGTGCCTGCAAAAAGGCTGACCCAATTTCCTTTTTTACTTACAATTTTTTTTCGTTCGCATGAAATTCGTGAATGCGCGTTCTCTTTTTGTTGTCTTTTCGATCACGAACATTAAATTTAAAAGAGAGAACTGATTGAGTTTTAAAATTTAGCAGAAGGTCAGAAGGTACGATCATTTCGAACAAAGACGAAAATATCATCGAGAGAGATCCGCAAATATGAAAGGTGACGAGTT